TTTATTATGCTCCGCCTACGATAGGAGAGGGGCATTTTTAGCGTCCGTCCGTCAGTCCCGTTCCAAATTAAAGTTTTGGTTTAAGGTAGGTTTAGGTTTTGGTTGTTTAAGGTAGTTTGTGCTCACATAAACATGCAATTTAGTACGCATGTACATTATGAAGTTTAATATGACAAATAAGAGTTTTGACCCAGATTTCCCTGTTTACTAAACACAGAAATGTGATAGTGCGAGCGGGTCATATGGTGTCCTATACACAAACACTTGCTAGATCAAGGGATACGTTTTTATAATTTCTTTTACCAAAAATACATTAGAAATATTTCCCTAATGAAACCTGGATTCAAGTGATAAGGTTCTAAATGAAATTCCACTGTACATTCTGGTCTCCTCCACTTTATTTATATTACGTAAAAGGTTGCACTCTCTTGCAAACGGAACTATAGTTAACTGACATACAAGTGGTAGGTTTAGCTAGCTTTGTCTTACTCACCATTTTCTTCCGAAAATGCATGTACCAAGTCAAGAATCTTACAGTTGTTTTCTAGTTGTTCCGTTGGTTGATATAGTCAAGCGTTTGGTTTTTTCAGTTTCTATGGAGTTTCCTTTTTTAATTTACTTTGGAGTTCGGTTATTACAGTTTTAGCAATGGGTTTCTGTTGAAGCTGAGGTTCATCGAACAATGACTGTGTTGCATGACTAACAGATTCGATTCTTCATAATTAATATCAATTAAAATGGTTGTAACTTGTAATAAAAAAAGACGAAATATTGTTTGGCGTGGCCTAATGACAAATTCGTGTAATAGTAATAATAAAGCTGTTAGAGATTTTATTATCAGTATTTCAAGACATCTTTTAATTGAAAATTGTCATATATTCTATCATAAAGACGCCCGTAACAAAGGCATATCGAACGGAAATAAATAATCTCTAGCTAGAAGCGTCACGTGATAGACGATATGTGATTGAGACGATTCGTTTTTTAACATTTTACAACCATTTTAGCACAATACGAACAGTTCCACTTCAAATCAACCTCAAGGAAATTTATTTCATAAATGATCTCAGTCAGTGTGGTTGTTGTGACAATAAAATTGATGTGCATACAAAGAAAATAAATGGCATCAGTTATTTATTGTAAAATCCGTATCCTTTTAAAGCTTTAATAACTTAAATTCCGAGAAAACAACATTTGAATGCACCTACAAAAAACAAACGTGCATCTTTTCAGCAGAAATGATATTTTCCTCATCTCGAACTTCGAAGGAGTGAGAATGGATTTACATTAAAGCATCAATCATGAAATTCTCAGTTAATGAATTAAAAAAGTACTAAGAAACTTAAGTTTTAACTTCCTATGAAAATTTATACCTTAGATGAAATCGGCTATTCTTTTCATGATCCTCTTTGGTCCTTACGTGTTACGTTATTTAAGGAATTATACCAGTATTGTATTTGAAGAGTTTCCACCGTCAAGTCCAAAGCTTTATAAGGGTCTAGATCTGGAAGGGGACGGGTCGATATTGTTTAATTTCTTCAGCCAATTGTCTATTCTTATTTTTTTGTTGCCCATTATCCTCTATTATTCTTAAATTTGTTGACCCATTATTTTGAAACTGTATAGTTATATAAAACAACTGCAATTATAAATTACCGACCTCCCCCCCCCAAAAAAAAAAATAACAGACAAATAAACATATTAAAAAACAAAAACAAAACAAAACAAATCAAAACAAAACAAAAAAACAACAAAAAACAAAATCAAAAACAACCAAACATACAAACATCAAAACAACAAGAAACAAGAACAACCCAGAAAAAACCCATATTATATAATAGTAGCATATAAATACCAAGAGAAGGCCATGTATAATTTAGTAGACTTAAAATGATAGTTTATAACGCAAATACAAGTCCCATAACAACTTTATTATACAGGAGCATGAGTTTTGAACCTGTTTTTGTAATGATGAACACATAATATATGATATCTTTTCATTATCTTGCAAGATATAATAGTCTTCTGTTGAATATTGCACGATTATGTTTTATATGAAATCTGACCTAATTGTAGTTGATTTTTCCTGCACTGCAAAAGAAAACAGTCACATCTTCAATTTAAATGCAGGACTACCACAATTGGTTCTTCTCGGAATTTTGGGTCTTCCTAATAGCTTTTTCAATGAGGGTAATAACAGCTGTGTGTATTATGTACAATATACGTACATGTACATTGTTGGAAATTAAAACAATAGTTTCAAAAGATTTAGAAAAAGTAGGAAGAAAAGAACGCTTCTCCTGTTTTGTAGATAGTATGTGCAAATAAAGATTTGGGTACACTAAGGGTAAATATTGGCCCTAAAATTCTGTATATAGCTGCCAAAAAGCAAAAGCCAATTTTTAAGTCGACCGGGTGTCGAATCATCAACTTCGAACCGAGTACGAAACCACCGAGGCAGTAAAATCTAAATAGAAACCGGATGACGTAAAATGGTCGACTTACCGTATCTCAAAATATATTTTTATTTTAAAACAAGGCAATTTATTCTGTAGCATTATATGCAGTTGTGGATTGATTTGTCAGGAAATATGATTTTTTTCTTTTGTTTTTATTGATATTCTCAATTATTCTGTCAGATGATTCGAATTCTTACTCCTTAGAGACATGTTATAGCATGTTTCAATGCCGAACCGATTTTACTAAAGCTTCGATGCTTCATAATCGGAAACGTAGAAATAAAACTTTCAAAAGATCCAGACTTGAAATAGGAAGCGTTATTGCTTATTGTTGTATCTAATTTCTAAGCCTTTAATTACAAGATTCGGATTCCGTATTGTTTGTAATTGAAGAAAATAACCTTAATAAGAAGACCATATCAAAGAAATAATGGTCGGACAATAACTAGGCATGATAATAATATCTATGATACTTATAACCTTAAGTAAATACTGCATGATCAAAATGCTTAAGGATATCCAAAAAACCCGAATACAAACAGAATAATTATACGGTTGAAAATTCATGAATAGATATATTGCGGTCGTATTCATTTGTTCGAACACTTCTGTAATTGCTTTGGTGTGTTCTACGTGAAATAACACTCATTTGAACACGTACATGTACCTAATAACTTAGAATCTTGATGTATCATTCTGTATTCTTTATTTTTCCAGTCGTTTTTCTTTAGTTGTTATTTGTTTGCCTATTATACTTTATTCTATACATTTAAGCCTTACCCTTATTATCTATTTTCTTTAATTTTTGCCCGCTTTTCTCTATTCTTTATTCTTTTAGTCCATTTTTCTTTATTTGGTAAGCCACTTTTGAGTATGTATTTAATGAAAGTGCAAATAAGATGGAATTCGAAATAAAGTCACTTAAAATTAAATGTCTTTCTCATGATTTTTTACGTAGTTTTTTTTTATCAAAAAAGGATTTTCTTTTACTCTTCGTGGAAATGCTATACTGATTTTACATTTTTAATGTTCGGACATTCTGCTCCGCGTGTAGCACAGCCACCAGTAATACCAACCTTTAACACAATTCAAAAAGTACGCAGTACTGTATTACCATTTTATAGAACAGATAACTCGAAGCGTGTTGTCAAATCTAAACTTCATTTCAAATCATGTCAACTTAGACGGAGGTTCATATGCAAATTGGTTTTAAAAAAATTTCTTCATTTTTTTTTGTACTCAAATGATAAATTTATTTATGTTTAACATTTTAACAAAAGTTCAAAAATGTTGGCGTACAATTGTTGTACATACAAATAAAACTCGATATGAGAGTCTTGATGGCGGGTCCATCATTTCTGTATTCTTTAATTCTTTTAGGTAATTTTTCTCTATTCTTTATATCTGATGCCAATTATTCTCTATTCTTTATATTTTAACATCCCATTATTTTCTATTTTCTCTGTTCCTTATTTTTTTTGCATTTTATTCTTCACTTTTTGCCCAGCATTCTATATTCTATAAACCCCATCCAGACCCTCCGATATTCTAGCTGGTTCCAACCTTATGTTTATAACGCGTTATTAATTCGCCATTTCCGAGAATAAAAAGGATTATGGGTAATTTTTGGTGAAATTCCATTATTTGGACAACACAACGTTTTTGGTGTATGCTTTTTAAAACATTTCCCAGAATACATCAGGATCGGAAACAGCGAATTGTGCCTAGTTATTATCTTCAGCATGGTGAATGCATTAGTCGTTTTCAGGGCTACATGTACATGTACAACTTATATTTCAATTGCATTTTAAGAAAATAAAACTACCAAGCGATACATACCTTGTTTTTTCGTATTTGCCTGGAAATATTTCTGACCTTAATCAATTGAGATTTCTCTATATCAATGTCGTATTTTGTTTATCCAGACAGAATTAAAAATTTGGTGTATGTAATTATACCATTAATCAGACAAAAAAATCACATGCAAGAATAATGACGCATTACACAGTTGAAGAATATTGCACGTTATAATCATTTAAACCAATGTGTCCAACTCTGCTCAATCAAGGGTTAATAAGTTGTAGTCGTACATTGATTCAAAAAATCAAGGATACACTCAGCCTAATTATTGAAAGTAACCGAAAATTAATTTAAGAATGTCGCAAATAGGATTGAATTTGATTTTAAAAATGTATGTAGACATTCGCACATAATTTTTAAATTTAGTTAAAATGTATACCTTTACTCCAAAATAGCAATAATTTAAAAGTCAGAAAAGCCGTTTCACATTTGATATTTACTAATCATCTTTTTTTTTTAATCAGAAATAGTCTATTTCGTTGACTCTCATGGAATAGAAATGGGAAATAGAATTCATGTCATGACGTCAATATGCGCACATGAAAACACAAAATACAAAGGAAAACGCTTGTATTGCTGTTCTTCAACCCGAAGAAAACCCTTCTTCCCCTCACAAAAATTAATATATACAAAATATTTTAAAACTTACCTGTAAATCCAATTAAATTACTAAAAGCTTACCTGTAAATCCTAATGTACAACTTATTAAGATGACAACTTGCAAAATATATCTTCCCATTGTTAGAGTAAAAAAATCACAGTTCTGTAGAATGTAAATGTCCAGTAAAAATAAGTTTTCTTAAATTTTGTTGACTTCAGTTGTATATTTTCAAATGCATAATGTACTGTGTTCGAAAAACGATAATTTTAAGCAAATTTATTCAGTAAAATGTCGCCCCCGCTGCTTCTAGTACTATAATACACCTTTATCTCTCACTAATGATTTAATAAAATTATTGTACTTTATTTAATTGGTTACATTTAAGCGTAATAAAAGGAGTGACTTCCAATCTGATTGGCATTGCTGCTGATGTAAAACCAATTTTCATTGGTCGTCTTTGTTTAATCTCGGAGGAAACGTAGTTTGACGTGATTTTTACAGCATAGGTAAATCGCTACTTGAATTTTATGTAGGATGTTATCGAATTGCAAATCCTCCCTTTTTTAACTTTAATTTCGTAACTGTGAAGAAATCTATGACTAGCATAAATCAATTCTTTATTACATAGCGCGGAAAATATGTCGTTCATTAGGAAATTAATGTATGAGCATTTTTATTGGATTTGACGGATTGCAGAAATATTCCAGATAATTTGAAACCACATGACCTTTGAGAGAAACTTAATTGTTAGAAATACACTTAGTGTCTTCTAGGAAGCGTCGCATTATTAAATGAACGCACTTGAGACTTTGTAAATTTCAAGTTATATATATATTTTTTAATTATGACGTCTCGTGGGCCGTCAAAGGAGCAGTCCAAAAGTGACACCCTTATTTATGGCACATTAAGCGTTTAAAAAATGTTCAAGTTGAAATTCTTGTATGAAATAAACATCTCTATGCGTCAATGTACGAAAGCCGGTTAATGTCGGGGTGTTGTTTTACTTTTAGTTATTTTAAGACTTAGCGAACTCGTATAACGACTATGTAAATTCACAATGTAAAATCAAAAACAAGAGGAGCAAACATCCTTTATATCTGAAAATAAAGAAAAACATACAATTACGTCCAACACGTTGCTTATGTTAAACACGATTACACACATTTACGCGGGAATTGTTCATGTATGCATACTATTTTAATGTTTAAACCATTATCATTTAAATGAACTTCTTGAAGTATGATACTCAAAATTTAAAGACAAAAATTTTAATTATTGGTAAACATTAATGACTATGCCATCATCAAATTGTCAACATTCTATTTCTTTCCATTTATTTAAAGGGCCATTAGCTACGAGATATAAAAAAAACCCACATTATATATTTTAAAATATGTTTTGTTTTGTTCAATCATTAATGAAAGTGAAATAGTAAAATAATAATTCGCTTTTGGCAGCCAGTTTGGTTCAATTTTGTCAAAATACACTAAGAAACATCGCTGATGAAGTATTTACTTGCAAGTGAATAATTCGACCTCATTGAATCCGTATTCATGTGACCTTCTATTTAACCCATTTGTTAGAGACGGTTGACGCATGAACTAGGCGTGTTCAGCTATTAAAAGGAAAATAATCTCAACATTGAAAGTGAAACAAGGGTAAACCATTTGGTTGACTGATTCGATCCACAAAAAAACTTATTCTTATACAGGATGATTACTAAGTAACATATTTGTTTAATCTATAATATGAAATCAAACAGACCTAGACAAATCCAATTGCACATGTTCGCTATATTTATATCTATATTTATATTTATATCAGGTTATATTACCGTCGACAGTCTTCGGAGGTCACCTCGATAGTTAATTAGATGGGATCTAGACTAAAATACACACGAAATGCGGATGCATATTATCGAGTCCATGCAGTGTTAATTGTTCGTCTTTGACTTTTTGTAAGTTGAATATACGTTTAAGTAGGTTTTAAATCAACTATGAGAATTTGAGTCAAATCGGTGAACATGATTTTGACAGCTAATGTCCCTTTAAAGGTGAAATGTGAGAAAAAGGAGGATTTTGAAAATGAATAACTTGGCTAACTAAGAACTGAAAATAAATGATTTTACACAAGACAAAATGAAAATGAATATTCTGCAACATGAAAAGCAGGATAGTTGAGGATACAAATGCGTACAAAAGTGATAAAAATAAGCATGCGTAACAACAGATGAAAATAAAAGATTAATCCAGAAAAAATTCTAAAGAAAATGTATGAACAATCTTGCACTACATATATTCTGAATTTCAATACTGATGATTTAACAGTAAACATGTTTGGAAGAAAACGCAATTACACGCTGAAAGAACGATTCCATATGTAAGCTTTAAGACTCTGGTGTATGTACTCAACACAAGGCACACAGGGGAGGCGGGGAATCTGTATAAAAGATATTGGATTTTTAAGTTCGATAATGCCAAGATCTTTTTCTTTCTTTCATAATTATTTTTTTGTTGTTTGGGGAGGGGGGTTGAGCACAATCGTTAATTTTTAGTAATTTTATTTCTTATTCTGACGAGGCCTTTATTCAGCAAATTTTGTTGAGTTATCTCCGTCCCCTGGTGGTATTATATTTTTACCTCATATGTCCCGAAATTCCTACGTCACACGAAAATTCAAGTTTGACCTGTGTAGTTGCAGGTCCTTGTAAGGCAAATATTGAGGCAAAATACAAGCCTCAATTATGATTATATAGATATGTCGGTTATATTTTGAAAAGAGTCAAACTAGAGGATCCCTCAACCGGTTCTTACGTATGATTCGACAACCGTACGTACCTTTCGTCAAATTGTTAAAAAGCTCTATAAGAATCTACACCCAGTTATTTTAGCATATCGTGAAACTAGTCTAAAAATAATTATAATATGACGTCCTATTATCGTCAACCAGTATAATCACAATATATCTACCTTTAGCGCAAACGCAGTAATACACAAAAACGGCTGTTCCGCGTTACGACCAACTTATTTATACTACCAGATATTCTCAATTTTCTACATCAAAACCCCAAGTTTACGTAGGCCAAGATTCAGATACAATATATTTATCTCTATTCTACAGCAAAATAAACAAATCAGTCCATTTCAATTTATTTTTCATAGTAAAATTTTTATAAAACGAAAATTCCGCGAAATGATGTTATTGTCTTGGCATGGCAACGAAACAAGGTGACGTCACAAGTATGTTTTCGAAAACAAAAAATCAAATGTAAATACCGGGCGTTTTAAAGCTTCTTGTACGCCTCAGAACGAATCAAAATTACATTGGAAGAAAATATATCAGTGAAAAATGCGATTAAAATAAAAATATTCATTGAATTATATAATATTACTAATATTATCAAAATTAGGTATAACGGAACAGTCAAAACAATATCGTATGTATAGGGATTTCACGGTTAACAAAATTACCGAATTTGTCCTATTAGAATCGAAATTATTCATGGCAGCCGCTAACGCTCAGGGTAAAATAATCGAATATAAATGCCCAACCCATGGTTAAATGAAAACAAATCTACGGCTGCCATGAATAATTTCTTACATAAACAATGTACTTTTCGAAAATTCATAATCCACTTAGGTTTTAGAATATACAAATGCATGATATTATTTTGACGCGACGTATCGTACTTTCAATATTGTTATTACTTCAACACTGATCTGCGCAGGTCAATATATGATATATGATATTTCTATATCGTTTGGTAATCAAAGAAGTTCAATGGCCTTTTATATAAAAAATATTTTTTACATTTGTTGCAATCGACTATCGTGATTTCTTACTGAAATAAAAACTGATAATTTTAGATGTGAAATAAATCCAGTAATGCATTCATCTCGCGTCATACAACAATTAATGGGTGTCACTGTAGTACATGACGATGCAAAAATTAAAACGAAACGAAGACGCAAAGATAAAGACAAATTTAAAGTTCATTGCATTTTCTACTCTATTTACTTTAAAAGTCAATGTAATAAAAAAAGAAAATTCAAATATTAAAAAAGTATTCAACTCGTGACCAAAATACAATAATAAATACTATTTTTCTCTGTTCTTTAGTTTTTGCCCATTTATTCTCTAATCCGTAAACCCAATCCAAAGCCTGATATTTCTCCACTCAAGATAAAATCTTTTTAATTTCAATATGCGAATATCAACTAACGTGAATGGAGAAACGTAACGACAAACAGAGGGGAAAATAGTGGGACCAGAAAGGTCCTTTAATATTTAACTTGTCACATTGGGACGAAAAATCCAATTATGTATACATTCAAAACTAAAAACCAAAATGTAAAATGTACAATTTTAACTTTGCATAGTTATATAGTCAAACAATTGTTTTGTTAACTGTAGACAGTGTTGGTGGCTTTAAAACATAATGCTTTTTAGTGCTTAGAATGCTTTTAATAATGCCTTGCTCCAGATGCTATAATGTTTTATGCTATAATTACTTTACTTGGATGCACATTTATTCATCAAATGGGGTTGATGGCATAATTACACGAAATTAATAACATAACACAATGACAACACAGTGCATTATATAGATTGCATGCCTGTATAATGCACTGTATAACACAGTGCATTATATATATACAGGCATGCAACCTATGGGTTTTTATATTTGTATTGTATTTTCTTAACACATGGCTTAAAAATACATTATAAATTGTCAATTTATTACAATTTTATGGGTCTAATAACTGCTCATGAATACAGGTCTACTACAGAAAAAACAGGTCTAAAACAGAATTTTAACTGGTCTAATACAGGACTTTCACTTCCAGTTATTGGTTCCAAAAGGTGTCAGACAACGGAAAAGTGTATGAAATGTTAGATTTCAAAATTTTTTGTTATTTTTCATATGTAATTTTATATTTTTCTTTGATTTTATACAAATTTGACCTGTAGAAAGGGTAAATATCCAACCATAAAAGATTAGTTTTCTGAGGGCGCAGTTTGAAGTGACTTTACTTTTAACGATTGACAATGTTGGACATCTTCCAAGGGACCACAACTGGGACAGAATTAACAGTAGAGGGGCCTTCAGAACCATTTAAGACACATGTGAAAGAAGCTCTTGCATATGTCTAACTGTAGGTCTGTTATTAAACTATTGTCAAGACACTTACGTCAGATAATTAAATTGTGTCTTAAAATGTCTCGTATGTAGACAAATGTAGACTCTTTGTGTACAATATTGATGGCACTGCAAAGATTCGTTTGTGACAGCTAGCCTCGGTACCATATGAATTTTCAATTCTTTTTTCTCATCAGTCGAC